GGCGCCCAGGCAGCGGGTGAGGCTGGAAGCCCAGTTTGGGGTCGGCTGGCTGGGCGAGATGCGATAGTTTTTGCATTCAATTCTACTGGAAATTCCACCCATGCGGAAGACATCTTAAAATCTGATGAAGGCGGGAGGTTTAACAAGCTCACCCATTGGCCCTTTTGGCAAATCTTGACCTGGGAATTAGAATGCTTCGGGTATCAGTGAGTGGATTCCGGAGCCCCTTTAAGATTCACTAAATTGACATGCGGCTCAAAAGTGACAGGCGTTTGGAGTTTGGGAGGGTGGCGGAGGTTTCTGAGCCGCCCCAGAGCAGTTGCCGGACAGGGTTGCAGGGTTTTGGAGGTGCCTTTGTGTTTGGAGAATGCTATGTTTCTGAGTTTATGTTACAACATGTTTGCATGTTTGCCGCACGGTAGCATTGTTGCTCCCATTGGGAGATGGCAGCCTGTCAAGTTGTCCAATAGCTTGCGTTCCATCGAACCTTTCCGCGTTCCAACTGATTCTTCTGGGTGCAACCGCGCAAGATATTTTTTGTTTTTGCCCTGCTGATGATGACATCACGGCTGGACAACACATTGCTCTGCAAGCTTAGAGCTTCAAGCAAGTGGCTGTGCAGCAACGCTTGCCAAATGTATTTCAGCGTGCGTGGATGCTTGCCCACTTGGTCAAAGTCTGACGCTGTTGCACTGCCTTCTCATATGTGTGTTTTTGTTGCAACAACCAGTCCTGGGCATACCTGGAGCCTCAAACGGGAACAAACTCTTGCTACTTCTATTATCCTTTTCAGGGAACCCTGCTAAGACTGCCGGGACATCAGCAAGAAGTACGCAGAAACCTGCGCAGAAGTCTACGGCAAAATCGGCGGAATTCCACGGAAAGACACCACACTAACATGGATAGCTTAATCTCGGGGAGTCTGAGTTCTGTGGGGAACACGAATGGGGGACCCGTCCGTTTTTCCAACCCCCAAATGATGAAAATGGGGTTTGGGGTTGGACAAACTAAGTTGGCACCCTCTTGCCTGCTAACACGGAACCCACCATACTGTGGATGCACGAACTCCCGCACCACCAACGAAAACCCTGGAAGGATTCGATTCCCCTGTAACCGACAAACGTTCTGGTTTCAACCATGTTTTCAAAGTGCGAAGTGGATGTCGAATCATCCCCGGTAATGTCCTTTTGAAGAATCGTCCCGGTCTGACAGGGCACCCTCGCTCTCGCCAGGCTGTGCTGGGCCTTGGCGCGGCTGGGGTGCCAAAACGACGAGCTCTTTGAGGCCTTAGAGTTAAGGCTGCAGCCGGTGCTGGACAGGCTGCAGCTGAAGGCGAGCCGATTTATCCAATATCAACGCCTTCCATTTGCTTAATATGTTTTGTTTTGGCCCTGTTGGTTTTAAAGGGAATCTACCACTACCGGAAATAATTCTTTCCAGGGGACTTAAGCAAATGGAAGAAGCCTGAGTGGATCTCAGTTCCTATTTCCAATGATGGATTCTCATTAAAACCAACAGGAGAAAATGAAGACACCAGTACAGTAGGCAACCCTTCGCCATTCTCCTCCTGGTTTTTAAAGGCTGACAAGCCCTTGGATAGCTTTCCAGGGAAATGGAATCACTGGGCTGGGTAGTCGCTCCGTACCCGTGAAGAACCGGGTTTCTTTTTAAAGAGAAGCCAAGGGAAACAAATGCCCCCAATATAAAAAGGGGTACGCCTAGTTAGAGAATTCCGGGGTAGATGAAGGTTAGGGAGAATCCCAATAGGTGCGTCCGCTCTTTTGGTTCTTTGTATGGTTTTGGTTGCGGGATTTAAAGTTTAAATATTGGGTTCTGGTTGACTCGAATGAGTCACTGATCAACATACTGGTCGATCGTTGGTTTAAAGTGGACAACCCGAATCTCCTGCAGAAACCAGGGGGATAACTCTATGAATTAAATGCGTTCTCCTTAGGTTCCATTGACATAGGGGTCTATGGCAACCAGTTGTTAGTCTTTCCAAAGGCTACATTCTGGAACACACCCAAAGGTGGGATTGAACCCAGGAATTGATTGATTTTCCCAAAAGGGGAGGCCTTGGGCTGAAGTTGTATTAGGCAGAACGGGACGCTTGGGCCCCTGTTTGCACTGCTTTGCAAAACGCAGGCCATGCAGAAGTTGAACTATGTCTTGAAATAGGGGAACCCCCCAAAATGGTGGCTTCCTTTTGGTTCCCCCTAAGCCATCCCAAAAGTGGTGCCCTCAAAAGAGCTGGCTTGCCAAATGGGCCTTTGACATGTGTTAGCATTGGCTGGCATACAGCTTCACGCCACTGAAGGCCAATATGAAGCATGTATACGTAATGATTATGTACACACATTCAGAGATATGCGCCGATACTGTATGTATACATATATATATATATATATTATATGTATAGTATACACATACATCACTATACATATATATATATATATATACACATAATATGTACCCTCTCACCAATTAACATGGTGTGTGATAGGAACCATGTTCAGCCATTTTGCTTTTAAAGGGCTTTTTTGTCAGGTTCCGTTTTACTTGGTGGAAGGGTGTATATATATATATATAGTCTACACATCAATACACCTGCCATGCTTGAGCCACCGCACTCGAGGAGCTCGAGGCGCTCTACGGGATTTTGACGGAGTTGGAGCGGGTGAAGCAGTGGCTTCTCGGAGCGAGCCGAAGAGGGGACGCCGTTTGTGGCAGTCTTTGCGTGTATCTGGTTCCTCATGAGTCATGTGTGCTGTTCCATTTTGGTGGTGGTGTTTTGGGGGTGTTAATTATGGTTCCTCCTAATGCATTTCCACAAAGCAAAGTTTGTGGTGAATTGAGAGGAGGAGTGCCGTGCGGTCAAATACCCTTTTGACACCCCCAACAGAGGGCACTAGCTTTGCGCTGAATCCAGAAGGTACAACGATGACCAATTCTAGCGGTTTGCTTGGGACGTCTGCTTCGTACCAGATCCAGTTGCAATATGTGGATGAGTTGCAACAGCAGGAACCCCCCTGTGGTCGGTGGACATAAGTCCCCACCGAAATGGTGTCCACCAAAGGGTCGGTTCCCAATTGATATTCACCTCTTGCTACAACCATTAAAGTCATTAGAGAGAGCTAAAAGGGTTCCTGGTTCCTGTGGGGTGCCTTCGCCTCTTTCGGGTGAGGATCTTTTCTTTGGCTCGCTTGGGGGTGCCCACAAGTGGAAGTTTGAATCCCACCAGCAACTTGGCACTGTTGAAGACATCCAGTGACCCCCTGTTGGCAAGCACTTTTAGGCGTTTGGTCCCAAAATCGCAAGACCACACGCAGGGGGTTTCCCTTTTGGTTTTCCTGAAAAGCCACAAACACAGGGGGTGCCAACCCCCAAACAAAAAAACACGGGAGCGATCTAGGAAGCTGATCCACGACGTGGAGCGCGCCATCGAGAGCCGCCCGGAGTCGGCCGAGAACGACGTGAAGCGGCCCCGGAAGCACGCCTTCCGGAAGCGCTGGACCCGGGACGACCTTCTGCACACCGTGCTGCCCAAAAAGCGCTGAGGACCCCGGATGACCCACGGTTGTGGGGGAGTCGCTCGTCTTTTTTTTTTAGGGGACTCCCCCCCTGCTTTTTGGGTGGTTTCGAGGGGAAACTAAAAGGGACACTTCCGTTTTTTGGCACTGGGCATCCGGTGAGGGAATCGTCTTTGAAGTGCTAAGATAGTTGTATAGGAATCGCTCATTTTCTCATTTGGTACGTTTTTGTTTTTGGATTCCAAATGACTGCTGCAGTGATTCAGGGAGGCAGGTTCGGAGGCGTGGGAAGGGGCCGAAAGCATGCAGGGTCATGCCTCGTGCTTAGCCTGAGGCTTGATTTGTGGGTTTTTCTACAAGGCGGAGCCCCCTTTGGACGGTGTTGAGGGAGAAGCGAAAGGAAATAAGCCGTAGGGGTGCCCACTTCAGAGGTCACTTTATTGCGGACCTCAAAACGGCAGGAGCCCTTTGGCCAGCGACGCAAGAGGCGACTTCTGACGGTTGCAAAGACGCTGGAGCTCTGGAACTCTGGGTCTGGACTCTGGTACTCAGAAAAGCAAGTACATCATGCAGACGAGGTTGTTGGCCTCTTTGCCTACTTGAAGGACAAAGACATTTTCCTTGACATCTACAAGAGCGGGTTGTCACGGCGCTTGCCGAACAAGTTGTCTCTCGAACGACGCGGAGGACTGCTTCATCACGAAGAACAAGGTAGAGTGTGGCAACAAGCCATCCAGAAGCGGGCTGAGATGTTTACGGACGTGGCGCTCAGTGACCAGCTCCAGGAAGAGTACATCAAGAGCGCTCACCGGGTATGGCGGAGTGCAGCATGAAGTGCGGGTGCTTCAGACCAACGCTTGGCCTGAGAAGGCGGACGATGCCCCGCTGGCAGCCCACACACACACACTCACACACCCAGAACCAGATCGAGCAGTTGATCGAGATCGAGAGATAATTGCTGAAGTGAGATGAATGAGAAGAACCGGAGTGTCTACATCTATTTGCCGTAACATCCCCTGACTCGTTCATCGTAGGCCCAGTTTGTGGTGGCCAATGATGGATTGCGAAGCCAATTGAGTGACAGTTGGCTCCTGATAGGTTTGCCGCTGGCTTCATTCCGGCCGAAACGACCGCTGTGGATAGTTGAGAGCAGTGAAGTCATGTTGTAGTTGAGAGCTGGACAAAACGCGACGCGGCCAGCCTTCCATCCCGGGGGATGGGATGGTTTCTTCGGTGCGTGCGTCGCTTTCCCCCCCCTTGGGGGTCTTGGGCAAATGGAAGTATTTGTTCTTGCAACCCCCTTTGAAAACTGGACCAGAAGGGTTCGGAGAGAGGTGAGAGAGCGTTCTGGATGCAATTCAAAGCCTTTGAGCCCAACCTGGGCATCCCGAATGCATAAGAGCGGTCGTCCCTTCACACTGCTTGCGTAGCCTCGGCCTACATCTTCCGCTGTGACATGTGCTTTGGCAGGTCCTCAACGCGACGGCGGTCTGCCTCACCTTTGCGGTCTTCCTGTTTGGCCTGCTCATCAGTCAGGCAAGGACGGCCCTTCAGGGCCTGCCTTCTAAGCAACATTGCGTCGTCCGGGCCCGTGGGGCCAGAGTCGCAGGAAGTTGGACCTGTCGAGCGAAAACGGGTGCTATGGGCATGTGAGGGCCAACCTGCGCCACATCAACCCCTCAAGGAATGCCCTGGCATTCGGGCTTCATTTGAAGCATTTGGAGGTTTCCGATTGGGCTTCCCTTAAGAGGTTGGGTATTGGGATTCATAATTCAATCCCCGGAAGAGCAATCTGACAGAGTCGAGCGCTTAAAGAGTGCAAACATCCACGGAACAGCTGTGAGCCGCTCATTGAAGACGATGCAGCATCTTGTCTGGCAGAAGCAGCAGCGATTTGATAACATTGGAACACGCAGATGGACCTGTTTCGTAAACCTGCGAGTTGCGGGACGGGCACTTTCCTTGCTCTTCCCTGGGCAGTTTTGCTTTGCACAGGCTTAGCTGAGCTGTTCGTTGAAGGAGGGGTTTCTTGTCCGCATGTTTCTAGATTCCTAAACCGACCACCAAAGGACGTTCATCGCCCTTCTCATGGATTCCCAAATTGCATGATCGCCGGCGCTTTTTTGAGCAGGTAGCAACAAGAACGCTTGATTTGGCAGTACGACAAGAGATGTGCAATAATATACTTCTAACAATATCCGAACTCCAAATCTTCAAACCACGTGCTGGCCAAGTTAGTTTGATAATTCGTTTGCGCAGATTTGCCGAAGGGTGAGGTAAGTTTCGACAATGGCACATGGCCAGCGATCCATGCCAAGCACACTTCTACATGTGGCTGTATATACATGTGTATATGCATACATGTACATTGTATATATGTATGTATTATAAAATGATATATGTATTATAACACATACATGTAATATATCATCCATATGAAGATATGCATCCATGATTAACAGTTGCCCTGTCTATCCTCGGAATCAACCGAGTCCCGAGCTGTTTTCCGAGAGGCCAGGAAGTTGGTGGAGAACAAGTGGCTGAACTGAGCGGGGAGACCCGCAGTTGGCATCGTTCTTGAAACGGACCCTGTGCATTGGCAACTGCCACCAAATTATTCGAGTGCTCACAGGAATTGTCCTTGGAAACGCGGGAGAAGAGAAGAGTCTTTGCAAGATTTGTAACCCGTAAGGATTATGTTTGTTGATTTTAAGATCAGTTGCTAGTTGCTTGATGGCTGTGAATGACCATTTTGCCGGGCAGTGCGGTTTGAGGTGGCAGGGTCCGGCATTGTACCACTCAGCAGGTTTTTTCAATCCGCTGCGGGTTGTGCCAAAAGGGATACGACGCGGACGCATCGGCAGGGGGGCTGGGAGAAAACTGAAGCAGAGGGCTAGGTTTTCTGGAACCCTTTTGACCCGCATATTTTATATATGTATTTACAAGTTTCCTACATTGCTGTAGGAAGATGGGGGGCATCAACCAATTTTGGTCTCTCCCTTTGTTGTTGTTGTTCAAGTGGACACGGCAGGAAACCTGCCAATCTTGGGGTGCTGGCTTCAAAGAATGACGAGTCGTGACTCATCAAGTTGTATTGCAAGGTAGATGGTCTCCCTAAACAGTAGTTGGTTTCTTGCTTGCCGTTTGAATTCGACCTTGAGAAAAGACACTCCCAGTCCCAAATTACTTCTCACTGAGCTCGTTGGATCCCAAAAATCTCCCGGGGCCCACTTGAGCTACATGCCTATTCGCGTGCCTCACTCGGCTTCAGCTTTTGATCGCCCTAGCTCTCGCCTCATCTTCGCTCCCCCGAGGTGCGGCGTTTTGTGTTTGTCACACTCAACGCGACATGGGCCGCTGAGGCCAAATGAACTCCTGACCTGCTCTAAGCCAGGCTCCCAATACTCAGCACCTTTTGGGCTGATTGTAGGTGAGTTTTTTCTTGGTGGGGTGATTGAAAGAGAAATATAGGGCACCCAGTTTGCTCCAGACTCCAAGCAAGCCTCAAGCCTAATTAAACCCAGCCCTGAGAGATAAAGAATGAAGACACAACTGTCTGCAAATGGAGGGGCTGATTAAACCCTGTTTTTATCCAGGAGTGCCTCCACTTACACATGTTTCCACGAGTACGGCAGCACTCAAGACCCCTCTTGGGCAATTTGGTCAGAGATTCTACTTCCCGCCTTGATAGAGGCGATGGTGGCGTTTTACAGCCGTTGGTGGACCCCAATGTCAATTTGTCTCGCCACTGCAGGAGTTGGCCAAAACTCTCTAAATTCATCATGTCACCTCTCACATGCAGCTTTTGTGACGATTTCCCGGTGCGAAGCGAAGTTGTTTTTTGCAGTTGCCAGGAACAATGGCTCGCCCCATCCTGCTCCCCGTCGCATCTTGTCTGCAGTTGAGGAATGCTTCGCTGGGTGAACTTGGTGGTTCAACAGGAAATGAGGGTATGACCTCTGCAAGCCATCCCTTGTGGCGTCCTTTACGGGAATGCCCTGGTTCATTATCCAAACCCACTGGGCTGCATTGCGTAAGCTCATAGCTCACAACGTGCCACCAGATTTGGAGTATGTTTATATGGCCATCGACGATCAGCATACGTACGGCCATTCGGCTCAAGCTGCTGGATAGGCGTGCGTTTGTTTGGTGCAACAAATTACGGCGGATGCTTCGGCGCTGGCGGCCCGTGCTTCATTGCTATCTTTGCTGGTTTCCAGAACGCTTTTCCTAAGCTGGGGATCAGCCGTTGTCCTTGAGTGTCACTACGCCGCTGCTGTCCGAGACGGCGCCTTGCAGTCCTTGTTTGCAGCGTGGACAAGGATGTTTGGGAGTCTGTCCCAGCGGCGACTCCATTGTTTGTGTCTCCGATAGCATCCGTGAAGGGAGCGAATACAATAAATACTTTAGAACCTCCGGCTCACTCCGCCGACATTGTCCTCTCCCTTTTCTCCTTCTTCCTCTCTCCCTTGTCTCCCTCGTGTGTTCTGTCGTCCTCTGTCCCTCCCTTTGCTCCCCATCCTCCCCATTCCCCCCAAGTCCTGAATCTCCCTCTCTCTGTCTCTCTCTCTGTCTCTCTCTCTCTCTCTCTCTCTCTCTGTCCATCTCTCTCTCTGTCCATCTCTCTCTCTCTCTCTCTCTCTCTCTCTCTCTCTCTCTCTGTTTCTCTGTCTCTGTCTGTCTGCCTGTCTCCTTCCTGTCCACGCCCCTCTACAGAAAAAGGGTACCCTAATTCTTCCCTCTCTACTGGAGGACCTAGTCTCTCTCTCTCTCTCTCTCTCTCTCTCTCTCTGTCTCTTTCTCGCTCTTTCTCGCTCTTTCTCTCTGTCTCTCTCTCTCTCTCTCTCTCTCTCTTTCTGTGTCTCTCTTTCTCTGTCTCTCTCTTTCTCTCTCTCTCTCTCTCTCTCTCTCTCTGTCTGTCTCTTTCTCTGTCTCTTTCTCTGACTCTGGCTCTGTCTCTGTCTCGCTCTGTCTCTCTTTCTCGCTCTCTGTGTCTCTCTCTCTCTCTCTCTCTCTCCCTCCCTCCCTCTCTCTCTCTCTCTCTCTCTCTCTCTCCCGCCCTCTCCCTGTCTCTCTCTGTCTCTCTCTCTCTCTCTCTCTCTCTCTCTCTCTCTCTCTCTCTCTCTGCGTTGCAGCGTCACGTCCCCCCTGAGTTGCCTCGATATCCCGGCGCTGCCCCTTCATGACCCTGAACTGTCATCTCACTACTGGCTTTCCCCTTGATTTCCCCTTCATGTCCTTTTCACGATGTCCTGGTCATGTCCCTTCCATTCCTTTCAACTCCCCCTTCATGTCCCTGACATTTTCTGTGTATGTCCGTGTCATTTTCCATGTGTGTCCCGTTCTTTCGTTGCGAGTCATTTCCCTACATCTCCCGTCTTGCCGATTGGTTTAATTGCGCCCTGTCATTCCCCCTGCACTCCCCCTCGTTTTCATTTCTGTCCCTGTCATGTCCCTTTCAGTTCCCCTTTGTCTCCCTTTCATGTCCCGTTGCTTTCCTGACATGTGGACTTCCTATTTCCTCCCCTCATTTCCTTGCATTTCCTCTTTGCTCCCCAGTATTTCCCGCAAAAAAACACAGTTTTTCCAGCGTTTTCGCAAAGCGTCCGAAAACACAGAGTTTTTCTAGATTTTTCCTTGCACTTCCTTGCATTTCCCCTTGGCTCCCCAGTATTTTCCACAACAAAACACGGTTTTCCAGCGTTTTCGCAAAGAGGACATCCAAAAACACAGGGCTTTCCAGATTTTCTGCAAAAGCAAGCAGGAAACCCAAACCAGCAAAAAGCCGGCAGGGGGAATCGAGCCTGGGACCCCTGTTTTGCGACGTTTAGTGGAACGTCATCAAATCGCCGCGCGGTACGTGGGGGAGGGGGGGTGGGGGGGCAAAACCCTGCGTTATTGACGTGTCCCGAGGGGGGCAAGGGGGGGGTTATCCTCTATCCTTTCTTGGGTATCCAACATGTCGGCGGACATTACTTCAAGCTCTTAACAAACACGTTGGTCAAGGACTTCTACTCGACAAGTGTGGTGTTGCCGCTTAGCCAGTTGGGGGTCCGCAGCACGACGAGCACGAGCTTGCAGCGCGCCAACAGGCTACCTGCGGCGCCAAGGTTCCGCGCCGATGACCCCGTCTTCCTAGCACGCGGCAAGCCTTCCTGGCGCCGCAGCATGAACGCGACACTGCCAGGGAGCATTTTTTCAACATGTCAACAAGAGCTGTGGGGCAGCGTCTTGTTCGACTCAAAGCCCAAGCTGCTTTGCCCAAAGCAGGAAGGCCCCTTGCGCGTGGCATGCTCCATTTTCAACGTCAAGATGGAGCCCGTTCTGGCTGCGCCGAGGCGGTTGCTGGGGCGGGTACGCTTCGTGTTGCGGACATCTGCCGATCGGAGTTGGGCTGGGGGCTCATGCTCTGAAGGGAAGATCGTTCTCAAAGTTGCTCTTGTCCGCATGTTGATTTGGCCTCGGCGCACTTGCTGGGTCTGTTGTTGCTCAAGCACACTTGCTAGCATTGCCCAAGCAGTTGGTTACGCGCAGGGTTTTTCCAGATTTTCGGCACAAGGAGGCAGAGCAACCCGAACCAACAAAGAGCCAGCAAGGGGATTCGTTCACACCGGCTCCCCGAAGATTATTTTCAGTGGAACGTCATCAAATTGCCGCGCGGCACCCAACGCAACCCCCCCCCCCCAACCAATCAGACGTCGGGCGGGGGGGGGGGAGTTGGGGGGGGGGGGTATCCTCTATCCTCACCTGGTATCTGACACGCCGGCGGATTTTGGGCACCTCCAGGGCAATGGTAATCCCTCAGCCCAACACGCTCAAAGAAATTACAGACCCACATGGGGGCGCAATCACGGTCTGTCATTGGCTCGGGCCTTACCTAGGAGGGGGGGGTCGGTGCAGCGCTTTGCGCGGTGCAGCGCTTTGCCAGGATTATGCTCTACCTCGGCCAACGCTTCAACAAAGCCTTTGGTAAAATGGCTGCGTTTCTTTGTTAAGGGCATCCCTTTTGTATTGAGAAGAGCCCAATTTAGGGACCCCCGTGGCCCCCGTGATTGCTACGTGCTTGCAAAACAACCCCCTTAGTCCTCGTAAACCAAGTTGGCATCTACGTAGGCGTCCGGTTGCGCAATGTTTCGGGTGGGCGTGGGGCAATTGGCCAGCAAAGGCCGGCCAGAGGACGGACTGGACTGGGTGGGGCGAACTCGTCTTGAAAAAGAATGAATGGAGCTAAGATATTTCAATCAACGCTCCGAACTGCCATGAGCCTGGTACTTTTTGGGAGCTTCTCAAAGTCTTGGACTTCCTTGGCTGGTTTTCAAAGGGAAACCTAAAAGAAACCGTCCCGTTTTAGGGGATCACTATTTTGAGCACCCCCATATTGCAAAGAAGGCCTACCTTGCAAGGTTTCTTTCGTCCGCCGCTGCCTGATCCGCTCATCTCGAGGCGCTGTGCCTTGCGGCGGTGGCCCTGCTGAGATCGAGCTGCTTTGTGCAGGCCACAGCACAGCTTCAATCAAGCAACGCGGTTAAGAACAACTAGAATAGGGCCGGGGGGGGGGGGGGACTTGAAGGCCAATCTTAGTCATGATTATATGAATGTATGGTTATATACTATTGATACTCTTGATGAGTGATCCGTGGACCCCGGCCGGGTGTAGAGCCAATCCGTCCGACTTAAAATGGTCGCATCTGAGGGCTTCTCAGAGGTGGAAAACCTTTGTCATTTTATTGGACCTACAAGGAAGCACCTTGTTTTTTAAAGGTTGTTTGAGGTTTGCTTAGAGTTTTGCAGGGCTCTTTGGTTGACGGGATCGAAGCCTCGGTTTGGACAGCGCACATTCCTTTGAGAGTTCTTGCCTCGGTTCCTGTGGCGTGTGCAGGCGCCGGCACGGGCAGAGGCGGGCGGGATGTTGACAGGAGGAACTGGTGGGGGGAACAGCAGTGTCCTTCTGAAGGATGAGTCCACTATAAATACAAACAAACCATGGCTTCCCATGGTTTCGAAGTGGTGCAAAATGGATTTCGCTCATCTACAGCAGAAGCTTTCAGTTTGCCGGCGCGTTTTCGAATGGAGGGGTCCTGTGCCAATGATTGGTTTGCGTTGGCAAGCAGGAACGGTGAGCTGTGAGCTTGACTTTTCTTGGACACGAATCAAAAGCAACCCTGCCATTTGCGGGGTTTGTAATGTAGCAAACACACGCACGCACAGAACATGTATAGATCATGTGCGCATTAAACCATTTATGTGCAATCCAAGATTTGTGAGTTTGGAGCAGAAGGATTGGAGCGTTTTGCAGTACCCAATTGTCATGTGTCGTACACCGAGATATAGTCAGAACTCCTCAGGGATCCTGCTGACACGAGGATTTAAGCGTACAATTCCATTGAGCAGTGAGGTTTGGCTTCCCCAAAGTTCCATGGCGCCGGACTTGGGCATCAACAGGGGGTTGGGGAATGAACCTGGAGATCCCCTAAGAAACTTACATGCGATGCATGGCAGCTCGTTTTGACTGAAACCTGAATAATGGCAGAGGGCGCAGGCGCCCTGGTTCTTTTTTTGCAGATGCGCTAAGGAAAGCCTGACAGGAACAACCGCTATTGTTGGGGGGTCGCCCTATTTTGAAACAAACCCAGGCTGGTCATACGACTCTTGACTGACAAAGTGCTGTTGGCCGAAGCAGAATACGTGTCAGCGGCCATGATTGGTGGGAGGATAATTCTACCAGACTGTTGGAAGCCGGGGACGATCTTGGAGATTTGGCCTGGACCAAATGATTGCCTGGGACTCATGAAGGGTTGTTTGCACTTTGTCCACCCAGAATGTCGCCACAATTATTTGATTCGTACCACCTGGTTTCTCAAAATCATGGACTCCAGGTGCTTCACTTTCTTTAGTTTTCCTTTCAAACCCGTTAGAGGGGTTCTTCATTTTGAGACGTCCCAAAATCACGAAAAGAGGGTATCCTCAAAAAAGCCGCCCAACACACCCGCGAATTGGTCCTGGCTGGTTTGTCGGATCCCTTTCGTTGTGACTCGGCTTGGATCGTTGCAGGTGCAGCACTTGCGAGCGCTCGAGACCGCCACCATGTCGACGGGCCTCTCCATGGTAGGTGGGATTTGGATTCAAGCGGGCGAGGGTTGAAGCCCGAAATGCGAGCGCGCACACACGCGAGAGTGTTCAAATGCATTAAATTGAGTTACCTATGTTTCCCGTTCTTAAAGGGCTCTAAGCATTGCCTTTTGGGCCAATGTAAGGTGTCTTTCCTTCAAAGGAAAAATATGTGGAGCCCTGTTAAAGTTAGCATGTTGGAAGATTCTTAAGATTCTGGAGGTTGTCATGTTGTTCTCTTCCGCAGGCGCAGTGGACTTTGTTTCTGAATGTCAGGTCCCACCTGAAGGGACATTGTCAAGGAGAAATCGGCAGTCTAAGAATGTGTACAACCCCTGGCATGACACCCTCAAGGGTGAGATTGACCGTTTGACCATGAACAGATGGCGGACTGGATGGCTCAAGACAAGCTTCGGACCTTAAGTGTATTAGGGTCTTCTTGCGAGTTTTCGGTCATGGCGTCGAAGGCGCCGTTGTTGGAGGGCAAGAAGGGCGGGCACTCCAAGGCCTCTATCTTCTACGGGGCCGACGAATATTTGGAGGAGCTCAAGAAAAAGTATGCCCACGATCCTTGACGGTTCCCAGCCATACGGTTCCTTAGACTTCTGGACTTTTAGACTTGTAGAGTGTAGGGGATTCATGACACATCCCAAAAAGAAAGGCTTAACTTTTAGCAAGGGATCCCGAACCACCAAGGATCACGAGATCGCGGCGCTGAAGAACCTGCTGCCTGGCGACAACGATGCAAATGCCGCAGGGGTGGCCCAGAGCCAGGACAAAATGCTCAAGGTGGAGAAGAACAGCGAGAACAGGACTGGGGTGTCCTCCTTAACTCTCTTTTATAGTTTAGGGTCGACTTGTTTCTGGAACAGAATCAGGACATCTGATTTTCTGTTTGTTTGTAATTGTGCGGGCCAAGAGGAGCTTGAAGACCAACCGGCTCTTCCCCACCGCCAACAAGCCAGACCCCATGCCACAGAACTTGGCCTTCTTGTTCACCAAAATTACTCCGGAACAGATGATGTACCTTGGCGGTTCCCAGCTATACGTTTCCTTAGACTTAGACTTGTTTACTTTAGAGGGATTCATGAGACCAGTCCCACTAAAAGCATTTTTTTTTAGCAAGGGATCAGCGAAGCATCAAGGTACATGTGGAACGTGCTCACGGCGATCTTTGTGACGCAAGTGCTCATGGTGTGCGCGTACTGTGCTGCACTGGCAACTTTCCCGGAGCACTGGTGGACCTGCACCCTGTGCTTCGGCATTCCTTTTTCTTACATCGCCATCCAGAACATCTACATCGACCACGATGTGATGCATGGTGCAACCTTTCCGGTGTACGAATGGCAGAAGTTCCTCACCCACCCCTTTGCTGACTTCTTTTCCCTGCCTTGGGAGGAGTTTGTGCTTGAGCACAACCGCCACCATGCTAGCACAGTTGACTTGCTGATCCAGGGAGAGTTTGGTTGGGATCCTGAGGAGTTCCACTATGCGCTTCAGCAGTGGGCAGGCCCCATGGGACCCAACTGGTACAAGTACCTCCTCACTGTGCCCTGGATCCCCATCATCCACTTCTTCGGCCTGAACGACACAGGGTCGCTCTTTGCCCTGGAGTGGTGGATGCACTTCCCTGATGAGGGCACCGGCGGCAAGTGCAACAAAGAGTTTTGGAGCAAGTGGGTCCCCCGGCGAGTGAAGCACAACGCCTTCGTGCTGAGCCTTTGGGCGTGCGTTTGGCTGCTGGGCACGTGGCCCTTGGGTAGGCCTCTCAGCGAGGGCTGGAGGTTCATGTTCGCCGTGTCCTTCTTTGCCCGCATCGGCTACTCAGCGGCCTGGATGTTCATCACCAACTTCACCCATTCCTTGCCTTGGAACGAGTTCCTGGCCAACGACCCCGGCCGCACTTGGCCCGTGCTGCACAACATGATGGCCCTGATCTTGGGAGGGAAGCACCGCTGGAACGAGATGCTGTTCCATGACGTGCACCACGCCTTCCCGAACGCGGTGGGCACTCTGAGCCAGCGGGGCCGCTTCCACGGCTGGGAGAAGGTGCACGATGCCGCCGCGGAGGTCTTGCACCGGGGGCTGTGGAAGGCCAACGGGGACGAAGAAACGCAGATGCAGAAAACGCAAAAGAAGCGCTCCATGATGATGAAGCAGGGCAAGTGAGTGCTGACTGCACGAGCGATCTGTTGAAGCGCCTCAGGTTTTGTCCCCTTGCCTTCTGAGAAGGTCAAACAAATTTGCGTGCATGTGGCCATGTGCTCACTTATTCCGGCCTGTACAGGAAAGACCACTCATGGAACCGATCTCATAGGAGACGATCTTCTGAGTGCGCGACAGCTGTTCGGCTGTTTCTTTGCTGCTGTTTGCCATTTTCGCTCTCTGAGACGTAGCCCAGACGGCCTTGGCAGCAAAACTCGCGTGGACTCAGAGCCACAGACACAAACACATTGGAACCTGAAAAGGATTCCCTAAAGGACCGTTTCCCCAGCAGGGACCCTCTCTTTCAAGCACCATGTTTGCGTTTGGCAGGGTGTATGTTGCCTTTTCTTGTGTCTCCAAACCGATTTTACATCTCAGTGTGCAACACATGGAGACTCCAAGCAATGATCTAAGTATGATGTCCCGCGCAAGAACGGATTGATTGGTTCCAACTCTTTGAAGGTTCAAGGCTTCTCTTGAGTTTTCGGTCATGGCGTCGAAGGCGCCGTTGTTGGAGGGCAAGAAGGGCGGGCACTCCAAGGCCTCTATCTTCTACGGGGCCGACGAATATTTGGAGGAGCTCAAGAAAAAGTATGCCCACGATCCTTGACGGTTCCCAGCCATACGGTTCCTTAGACTTCTGGACTTTTAGGCTTGTAGAGTGTAGGGGATTCATGACACATCCCAAAAAGAAAGGCTTAACTTTTAGCAAGGGATCCCGAACCACCAAGGATCACGAGATCGCGGCGCTGAAGAACCTGCTGCCTGGCGACAACGATGCAAATGCCGCAGGGGTGGCCCAGAGCCAGGACAAAATGCTCAAGGTGGAGAAGAACAGCGAGAACAGGACTGGGGTGTCCTCCTTAACTCTCTTTTATAGTTTAGGGTCGACTTGTTTCTGGAACAGAATCAGGACATCTGATTTTCTGTTTGTTTGTAATTGTGCGGGCCAAGAGGAGCTTGAAGACCAACCGGCTCTTCCCCACCGCCAACAAGCCAGACCCCATGCCACAGAACTTGGCCTTCTTGTTCACCAAAATTACTCCGGAACAGATGATGTACCTTGGCGGTTCCCAGCTATACGTTTCCTTAGACTTAGACTTGTTTACTTTAGAGGGATTCATGAGACCAGTCCCGCTAAAAGCATTTTTTTTTAGCAAGGGATCAGCGAAGCATTAAGGTACATGTGGAACGTGCTCACAGCGATCTTTGTGACGCAAGTGCTCATGGTGTGCGAGTACTGTGCTGCACTGGCAACTTTCCCGGAGCACTGGTGGACCTGCACCCTGTGCTTCGGCATTCCTTTTTCTTACATCGCCATCCAGAACATCTACATCGACCACGATGTGATGCATGGTGCAACCTTTCCGGTGTACGAATGGCAGAAGTTCCTCACCCACCCCTTTGCTGACTTCTTTTCCCTGCCTTGGGAGGAGTTTGTGCTTGAGCACAACCGCCACCATGCTAGCACAGTTGACTTGCTGATCCAGGGAGAGTTTGGTTGGGATCCTGAGGAGTTCCACTATGCGCTTCAGCAGTGGGCAGGCCCCATGGGACCCAACTGGTACAAGTACCTCCTCACTGTGCCCTGGATCCCCATCATCCACTTCTTCGGCCTGAACGACACAGGGTCGCTCTTTGCCCTGGAGTGGTGGATGCACTTCCCTGATGAGGGCACCGGCGGCAAGTGCAACAAAGAGTTTTGGAGCAAGTGGGTCCCCCGGCGAGTGAAGCACAACGCCTTCGTGCTGAGCCTTTGGGCGTGCGTTTGGCTGCTGGGCACGTGGCCCTTGGGTAGGCCTCTCAGCGAGGGCTGGAGGTTCATGTTCGCCGTGTCCTTCTTTGCCCGCATCGGCTACTCAGCGGCCTGGATGTTCATCACCAACTTCACCCATTCCTTGCCTTGGAACGAGTTCCTGGCCAACGACCCCGGCCGCACTTGGCCCGTGCTGCACAACATGATGGCCCTGATCTTGGGAGGGAAGCACCGCTGGAACGAGATGCTGTTCCATGACGTGCACCACGCCTTCCCGAACGCGGTGGGCACTCTGAGCCAGCGGGGCCGCTTCCACGGCTGGGAGAAGGTGCACGATGCCGCCGCGGAGGTCTTGCACCGGGGGCTGTGGAAGGCCAACGGGGACGAAGAAACGCAGATGCAGAAAACGCAAAAGAAGCGCTCCATGATGATGAAGCAGGGCAAGTGAGTGCTGACTGCACGAGCGATCTGTTGAAGCGCCTCAGGTTTTGTCCCCTTGCCTTCTGAGAAGGTCAAACAAATTTGCGTGCATGTGGCCATGTGCTCACTTATTCCGGCCTGTACAGGAAAGACCACTCATGGAACCGATCTCATAGGAGACGATCTTCTGAGTGCGCGACAGCTGTTCGGCTGTTTCTTTGCTGCTGTTTGCCATTTTCGCTCTCTGAGACGTAGCCCAGACGGCCTTGGCAGCAAAACTCGCGTGGACTCAGAGCCACAGACACAAACACATTGGAACCTGAAAAGGATTCCCTAAAGGACCGTTTCCCCAGCAGGGACCCTCTCTTTCAAGCTCCATGTTTGCGTTTGGCAGGGTGTATGTTGCCTTTTCTTGTGTCTCCAAGCCGATTTTACATCTCAGTGTGCAACACAAGGAGACTCCAAGCAATGATTTAAGTATGATGTCCCGCGCAAGAACGGATTGATTGGTTCCAACTCTTTGAAGGTTCAAGGCTTCTCTTGAGTTTTCGGTCATGGCGTCGAAGGCGCCGTTGTTGGAGGGCAAGAAGGGCGGGCACTCCAAGGCCTCTATCTTCTACGGGGCCGACGAATATTTGGAGGAGCTCAAGAAAAAGTATGCCCACGATCCTTGACGGTTCCCAGCCATACGGTTCCTTAGACTTCTGGACTTTTAGGCTTGTAGAGTGTAGGGGATTCATGACACATCCCAAAAAGAAAGGCTTAACTTTTAGCAAGGGATCCCGAACCACCAAGGATCACGAGATCGCGGCGCTGAAGAACCTGCTGCCTGGCGACAACGATGCAAATGCCGCAGGGGTGGCCCAGAGCCAGGACAAAATGCTCAGAGGTGGAGAAGAACAGCGAGAACGGGACTGGGGTGTCCTCCTTAACTCTCTTTTATAGTTTAGGGTCGACTTGTTTCTGGAACAGAATCAGGACATCTGATTTTCTGTTTGTTTGCATGCGGCTTTGAGGAGCTTGAAGACCAACCGGCTCTTCCCCACCGCCAACAAGCAGACCCCATGCCACAGAACTTGGCCTTCTTGTTCACCAAAATTACTCCGGAACAGATGATGTACCTTGGCGGTTCCCAGCTTTACGTTTCCTTAGACTTAGACTTGTTGACTTTAGAGGGATTATGAGACCAGTCCCGCTAAAAGCATTTTTTTTTAGCAAGGGATCAGCGAAGCATTAAGGTACATGTGGAACGTGCTCACAGCGATCTTGGTGACGCAAGTGCTCATGGTGTGCGAGTACTGTGCTGCACTGGCAACTTTCCCGGAGCACTGGTGGACCTGCACCCTGTGCTTCGGCATTCCTTTTTCTTACATCGCCATCCAGAACATCTACATCGACCACGATGTGATGCATGGTGCAACCTTTCCGGTGTACGAATGGCAGAAGTTCCTCACCCACCCCTTTGCTGACTTCTTTTCCCTGCCTTGGGAGGAGTTTGTGCTTGAGCACAACCGCCACCATGCTAGCACAGTTGACTTGCTGATCCAGGGAGAGTTTGGTTGGATCCTGAGGAGTTCCACTATGCGCTTCAGCAGTGGGCAGGCCCCATGGGACCCAACTGGTACAAGTACCTCCTCACTGTGCCCTGGATCCCCATCATCCACTTCTTCGGCCTGAACGACACAGGGTCTGCTCTTTGCCCTGGAGTGGTGGATGCACTTCCCTGATGAGGGCACCGGCGGCAAGTGCAACAAAGAGTTTTGGAGCAAGTGGGTCCCCCGGCGAGTGAAGCACAACGCCTTCGTGTGATGAGCCTTTGGGCGTGCGTTTGGCTGCTGGGCACGTGGCCCTTGGGTAGGCCCTCAGCGAGGGCTGAGGTTCATGCCGCCGTGTCCTTTTTGCCCGCATCGGCTACTCAGCGGCCTGGATGTTCATCACCAACTTCACCCATTCCTTGCCTTGGAACGAGTTCCTGGCCAACGACCCCGGCCGCACTTGGCCCGTGCTGCACAACATGATGGCCCTGATCTTGGGAGGGAAGCACCGCTGGAACGAGATGCTGTTCCATGACGTGCACCACGCCTTCCCGAACGCGGTGGGCACTCTGAGCCAGCGGGGCCGCTTCCACGGCTGGGAGAAGGTGCACGATGCCGCCGCGGAGGTCTTGCACCGGGGGCTGTGGAAGGCCAACGGGGACGAAGAAACGCAGATGCAGAAAACGCAAAAGAAGCGCTCCATGATGATGAAGCAGGGCAAGTGAGTGCTGACTGCACGAGCGATCTGTTGAAGCGCCTCAGGTTTTGTCCCCTTGCCTTCTGAGAAGGTCAAACAAATTTGCGTGCATGTGGCCATGTGCTCACTTATTCCGGCCTGTACAGGAAAGACCACTCATGGAACCGATCTCATAGGAGACGATCTTCTGAGTGCGCGACAGCTGTTCGGCTGTTTCTTTGCTGCTGTTTGCCATTTTCGCTCTCTGAGACGTAGCCCAGACGGCCTTGGCAGCAAAACTCGCGTGGACTCAGAGCCACAGACACAAACACATTGGAACCTGAAAAGGATTCCCTAAAGGACCGTTTCCCCAGCAGGGACCCTCTCTTTCAAGCTCCATGTTTGCGTTTGGCAGGGTGTATGTAGCCTTTTCTTGTGTCTCCAAACCGATTTTACATCTCAGTGTGCAACACAGTATGATGTCCCGCGCAAGAACGGATTGATTGGTTCCAACTCTTTGAAGGTTCAAGGCTTCTCTTGAGTTTTCGGTCATGGCGTCGACGTTGTTGGAGGGCAAGAAGGGCGGGCACTCCAAGGACTTCTACGGGGCCGACGAATATTTGGAGGAGCTCAAGAAAAAGTGCCCACGATCCTTGACGGTTCCCAGCCATACGGTTCCTTGACTTCTGGACTTTTAGGCTTGTAGAGTGTAGGGGATTCATGACACATCCCAAAAAGAAAGGCTTAACTTTTAGCAAGGGATCCCGAACCACCAAGGATCACGAGATCGCGGCGCTGAAGAACCTGCTGCCTGGCGACAACGATGCAAATGCCGCAGGGGTGGCCCAGAGCCAGGACAAAATGCTCAAGGTGGAGAAGAACAGCGAGAACAGGACTGGGGTGTCCTCCTTAACTCTCTTTTATAGTTTAGGGTCGACTTGTTTCTGGAACAGAATCAGGACATCTGATTTTCTGTTTGTTTGTAATTGTGCGGGCCAAGAGGAGCTTGAAGACCAACCGGCTCTTCCCCACCGCCAACAAGCCAGACCCCATGCCACAGAACTTGGCCTTCTTGTTCACCAAAATTACTCCGGAACAGATGATGTACCTTGGCGGTTCCCAGCTATACGTTCCTTAGACTTAGACTTGTTTACTTTAGAGGGATTCATGAGACCAGTCCCGCTAAAAGCATTTTTTTTTAGCAAGGGATCAGCGAAGCATTAAGGTACATGTGGAACGTGCTCACAGCGATCTTTGTGACGCAAGTGCTCATGGTGTGCGAGTACTGTGCTGCACTGGCAACTTTCCCGGAGCACTGGTGGACCTGCACCCTGTGCTTCGGCATTCCTTTTTCTTACATCGCCATCCAGAACATCTACATCGACCACGATGTGATGCATGGTGCAACCTTTCCGGTGTACGAATGGCAGAAGTTCCTCACCCACCCCTTTGCTGACTTCTTTTCCCTGCCTTGGGAGGAGTTTGTGCTTGAGCACAACCGCCACCATGCTAGCACAGTTGACTTGATGATCCAGGGAGAGTTTGGTTGGGATCCTGAGGAGTTCCACTATGCGCTTCAGCAGTGGGCAGGACCCATGGGACCCAACTGGTACAAGTACCTCCTCACTGTGCCCTGGATCCCCATCATCCACTTCTTCGGCCTGAACGACACAGGGTCGCTCTTTGCCCTGGAGTGGTGGATGCACTTCCCTGATGAGGGCACCGGCGGCAAGTGCAACAAAGAGTTTTGGAGCAAGTGGGTCCCCCGGCGAGTGAAGCACAACGCCTTCGTGCTGAGCCTTTGGGCGTGCGTTTGGCTGCTGGGCACGTGGCCCTTGGGTAGGCCTCTCAGCGAGGGCTGGAGGTTCATGTTCGCCGTGTCCTTCTTTGCCCGCATCGGCTACTCAGCGGCCTGGATGTTCATCACCAACTTCACCCATCCTTGCCTTGGAACGAGTTCCTGGCCAACGACCCCGGCCGCACTTGGCCCGTGCTGCACAACATGATGGCCCTGATCTTGGGAGGGAAGCACCGCTGGAACGAGATGCTGTTCCATGACGTGCACCACGCCTTCCCGAACGCGGTGGGCACTCTGAGCCAGCGGGGCCGCTTCCACGGCTGGGAGAAGGTGCACGATGCCGCCGCGGAGGTCTTGCACCGGGGGCTGTGGAAGGCCAACGGGGACGAAGAAACGCAGATGCAGAAAACGCAAAAGAAGCGCTCCATGATGATGAAGCAGGGCAAGTGAGTGCTGACTGCACGAGCGATCTGTTGAAGCGCCTCAGGTTTTGTCCCCTTGCCTTCTGAGAAGGTCAAACAAATTTGCGTGCATGTGGCCATGTGCTCACTTATTCCGGCCTGTACAGGAAAGACCACTCATGGAACCGATCTCATAGGAGACGATCTTCTGAGTGCGCGACAGCTGTTCGGCTGTTTCTTTGCTGCTGTTTGCCATTTTCGCTCTCTGAGACGTAGCCCAGACGGCCTTGGCAGCAAAACTCGCGTGGACTCAGAGCCACAGACACAAACACATTGGAACCTGAAAAGGATTCCCTAAAGGACCGTTTCCCCAGCAGGGACCCTCTCTTTCAAGCACCATGTTTGCGTTTGGCAGGGTGTATGTTGCCTTTTCTTGTGTCTCCAAACCGATTTTACATCTCAGTGTGCAACACATGGAGACTCCAAGCAATGATCTAAGTATGATGTCCCGCGCAAGAACGGATTGATTGGTTCCAACTCTTTGAAGGTTCAAGGCTTCTCTTGAGTTTTCGGTCATGGCGTCGAAGGCGCCGTTGTTGGAGGGCAAGAAGGGCGGGCACTCCAAGGCCTCTATCTTCTACGGGGCCGACGAATATTTGGAGGAGCTCAAGAAAAAGTATGCCCACGATCCTTGACGGTTCCCAGCCATATTCCTTAGACTTCTGGACTTTTAGGCTTGTAGAGTGTAGGGGATTCATGACACATCCCAAAAAGAAAGGCTTAACTTTTAGCAAGGGATCCCGAACCACCAAGGATCACGAGATCGCGGCGCTGAAGAACCTGCTGCCTGGCGACAACGATGCAAATGCCGCAGGGGTGGCCCAGAGCCAGGACAAAATGCTCAAGGTGGAGAAGAACAGCGAGAACAGGACTGGGGTGTCCTCCTTAACTCTCTTTTATAGTTTAGGGTCGACTTGTTTCTGGAACAGAATCAGGACATCTGATTTTCTGTTTGTTTGTAATTGTGCGGGCCAAGAGGAGCTTGAAGACCAACCGGCTCTTCCCCACCGCCAACAAGCCAGACCCCATGCCACAGAACTTGGCCTTCTTGTTCACCAAAATTACTCCGGAACAGATGATGTACCTTGGCGGTTCCCAGCTATACGTTTCCTTAGACTTAGACTTGTTGACTTTAGAGGGATTCATGAGACCAGTCCCGCTAAAAGCATTTTTTTTTAGCAAGGGATCAGCGAAGCATTAAGGTACATGTGGAACGTGCTCACAGCGATCTTTGTGACGCAAGTGCTCATGGTGTGCGAGTACTGTGCTGCACTGGCAACTTTCCCGGAGCACTGGTGGACCTGCACCCTGTGCTTCGGCATTCCTTTTTCTTACATCGCCATCCAGAACATCTACATCGACCACGATGTGATGCATGGTGCAACCTTTCCGGTGTACGAATGGCAGAAGTTCCTCACCCACCCCTTTGCTGACTTCTTTTCCCTGCCTTGGGAGGAGTTTGTGCTTGAGCACAACCGCCACCATGCTAGCACAGTTGACTTGCTGATCCAGGGAGAGTTTGGTTGGGATCCTGAGGAGTTCCACTATGCGCTTCAGCAGTGGGCAGGCCCCATGGGACCCAACTGGTACAAGTACCTCCTCACTGTGCCCTGGATCCCCATCATCCACTTCTTCGGCCTGAACGACACAGGGTCGCTCTTTGCCCTGGAGTGGTGGATGCACTTCCCTGATGAGGGCACCGGCGGCAAGTGCAACAAAGAGTTTTGGAGCAAGTGGGTCCCCCGGCGAGTGAAGCACAACGCCTTCGTGCTGAGCCTTTGGGCGTGCGTTTGGCTGCTGGGCACGTGGCCCTTGGGTAGGCCTCTCAGCGAGGGCTGGAGGTTCATGTTCGCCGTGTCCTTCTTTGCCCGCATCGGCTACTCAGCGGCCTGGATGTTCATCACCAACTTCACCCATTCCTTGCCTTGGAACGAGTTCCTGGCCAACGACCCCGGCCGCACTTGGCCCGTGCTGCACAACATGATGGCCCTGATCTTGGGAGGGAAGCACCGCTGGAACGAGATGCTGTTCCATGACGTGCACCACGCCTTCCCGAACGCGGTGGGCACTCTGAGCCAGCGGGGCCGCTTCCACGGCTGGGAGAAGGTGCACGATGCCGCCGCGGAGGTCTTGCACCGGGGGCTGTGGAAGGCCAACGGGGACGAAGAAACGCAGATGCAGAAAACGCAAAAGAAGCGCTCCATGATGATGAAGCAGGGCAAGTGAGTGCTGACTGCACGAGCGATCTGTTGAAGCGCCTCAGGTTTTGTCCCCTTGCCTTCTGAGAAGGTCAAACAAATTTGCGTGCATGTGGCCATGTGCTCACTTATTCCGGCCTGTACAGGAAAGACCACTCATGGAACCGATCTCATAGGAGACGATCTTCTGAGTGCGCGACAGCTGTTCGGCTGTTTCTTTGCTGCTGTTTGCCATTTTCGCTCTCTGAGACGTAGCCCAGACGGCCTTGGCAGCAAAACTCGCGTGGACTCAGAGCCACAGACACAAACACATTGGAACCTGAAAAGGATTCCCTAAAGGACCGTTTCCCCAGCAGGGACCCTCTCTTTCAAGCTCCATGTTTGCGTTTGGCAGGGTGTATGTAGCCTTTTCTTGTGTCTCCAAACCGATTTTACATCTCAGTGTGCAACACAGTATGATGTCCCGCGCAAGAACGGATTGATTGGTTCCAACTCTTTGAAGGTTCAAGGCTTCTCTTGAGTTTTCGGTCATGGCGTCGAAGGCGCCGTTGTTGGAGGGCAAGAAGGGCGGGCACTCCAAGGCCTCTATCTTCTACGGGGCCGACGAATATTTGGAGGAGCTCAAGAAAAAGTATGCCCACGATCCTTGACGGTTCCCAGCCATACGGTTCCTTAGACTTCTGGACTTTTAGGCTTGTAGAGTGTAGGGGATTCATGACACATCCCAAAAAGAAAGGCTTAACTTTTAGCAAGGGATCCCGAACCACCAAGGATCACGAGATCGCGGCGCTGAAGAACCTGCTGCCTGGCGACAACGATGCAAATGCCGCAGGGGTGGCCCAGAGCCAGGACAAAATGCTCAAGGTGGAGAAGAACAGCGAGAACAGGACTGGGGTGTCCTCCTTAACTCTCTTTTATAGTTTAGGGTCGACTTGTTTCTGGAACAGAATCAGGACATCTGATTTTCTGTTTGTTTGTAATTGTGCGGGCCAAGAGGAGCTTGAAGACCAACCGGCTCTTCCCCACCGCCAACAAGCCAGACCCCATGCCACAGAACTTGGCCTTCTTGTTCACCAAAATTACTCCGGAACAGATGATGTACCTTGGCGGTTCCCAGCTATACGTTTCCTTAGACTTAGACTTGTTTACTTTAGAGGGATTCATGAGACCAGTCCCGCTAAAAGCATTTTTTTTAGCAAGGGATCAGCGAAGCATTAAGGTACATGTGGAACGTGCTCACGGCGATCTTTGTGACGCAAGTGCTCATGGTGTGCGCGTACTGTGCTGCACTGGCAACTTTCCCGGAGCACTGGTGGACCTGCACCCTGTGCTTCGGCATTCCTTTTTCTTACATCGCCATCCAGAACATCTACATCGACCACGATGTGATGCATGGTGCAACCTTTCCGGTGTACGAATGGCAGAAGTTCCTCACCCACCCCTTTGCTGACTTCTTTTCCCTGCCTTGGGAGGAGTTTGTGCTTGAGCACAACCGCCACCATGCTAGCACAGTTGACTTGCTGATCCAGGGAGAGTTTGGTTGGGATCCTGAGGAGTTCCACTATGCGCTTCAGCAGTGGGCAGGACCCATGGGACCCAACTGGTACAAGTACCTCCTCACTGTGCCCTGGATCCCCATCATCCACTTCTTCGGCCTGAACGACACAGGGTCGCTCTTTGCCCTGGAGTGGTGGATGCACTTCCCTGATGAGGGCACCGGCGGCAAGTGCAACAAAGAGTTTTGGAGCAAGTGGGTCCCCCGGCGAGTGAAGCACAACGCCTTCGTGCTGAGCCTTTGGGCGTGCGTTTGGCTGCTGGGCACGTGGCCCTTGGGTAGGCCTCTCAGCGAGGGCTGGAGGTTCATGTTCGCCGTGTCCTTCTTTGCCCGCATCGGCTACTCAGCGGCCTGGATGTTCATCACCAACTTCACCCATTCCTTGCCTTGGAACGAGTTCCTGGCCAACGACCCCGGCCGCACTTGGCCCGTGCTGCACAACATGATGGCCCTGATCTTGGGAGGGAAGCACCGCTGGAACGAGATGCTGTTCCATGACGTGCACCACGCCTTCCCGAACGCGGTGGGCACTCTGAGCCAGCGGGGCCGCTTCCACGGCTGGGAGAAGGTGCACGATGCCGCCGCGGAGGTCTTGCACCGGGGGCTGTGGAAGGCCAACGGGGACGAAGAAACGCAGATGCAGAAAACGCAAAAGAAGCGCTCCATGATGATGAAGCAGGGCAAGTGAGTGCTGACTGCACGAGCGATCTGTTGAAGCGCCTCAGGTTTTGTCCCCTTGCCTTCTGAGAAGGTCAAACAAATTTGCGTGCATGTGGCCATGTGCTCACTTATTCCGGCCTGTACAGGAAAGACCACCACTCATGGGTGAACCGATGTAACAGGTGCCGATCTCCTGAGTGTGCGACAGCTGTTCGGCTGTTTCTTTGCTGTGTTTGCCATTTTCGCTCTCTGAGATGTAGCCCAGACGGCCTTGGCAGCAAAACTCGCACAGACACGAAAGCCCAAAAAACAGAAAAGGAGCGGAAGAGTGAATTTGCTGGCCCTCCCGAAAACTGACATGAGTCAACCTCAGAATTATCAAAGACCACTTTATCAACGGCGTTTCATTCAATACTGGTTTTTTGCATTTTCCTTGGAGAACGATAGGGGACTCACAAAAAACGATACCCCTGAACATGGTTTGTGCTGGACCTTCGAGCTGGAGCTGCCGAAGTCTAACTTGTGTACCGTGCCTGTACTGAAAGCTGCGACTTGCGACCTGGAGGTTGCTGCCAG